AACCGTGTTCCACTGAAAATTTTCTATAATGCAACTCTAACAGTAAATGTGTGGTAAATGTTGAAAAGCAAGGATAGAGCAGAAATTCAGTGAATTTTGTGGCAGTGAAAAGCCAAAAAGTATACAATTGAGTTAATTTCGTGCTTCAGAATGCAAATCACTTATTATAGCATTATTTTTAGTGGTAAATACTGCTACAAATACATTTTCTATTATCATAATATGTTTCGTTTCATATGAAAATTAAAACAAATTTCCCCAGTAATATCCTTGTGTTGTATTTAATTCCACCAGCTTAGTGGCTTTTGATCATTTTCGCATACGCCCATGTGTAATTATGTGCTCACGTGATTCTGTGCGTGTTATAATTGGCCGAAAAAGGGTTAGGAGCATATTGACAGAAGTGCTGATTGACACTTCATAGGCATTTGTCACGTTTAAAATGAAATTCCGTTTGTGCTGTAGCAACGGTTTTTAGCACACTTGCAGTATATAATATTTGTACATATGTACGAATGCATCACCTGCATAAATTCCTATAGTTCGCAGTGCCTTACTCAATTGCGTCCGCTGTGCGGGATATCTTTGTTTAACGAAGCTTACGTTGTAATTTCTGTTAAACTGTGACAGCGTAGGGAGTAACGTACAAAGCACATGTGCTGTGTTTAGTATGTCGTCACCTCAAATGCAAAATAACGTAACATCGYTTTTTATAAGTTCACAGTTGAAGGAAAAACGATACGATAGAAAGCACTCATGTTGAAACAAAAGTTGTGATGTGATTATAAAACGGTTATATATTGGTTATATCTGGCWGTAGAAGCTGACAATTTTATACTACATATGTATGTATATGTAATATGATGTAGAAAATCGTATATAAAAAACTCAATTTCGATTTTTTTGATGATACGTTGTTTTGCATTTTAGGTGACRATATGTACCTACTTTTGTATTGAGGAAAAGTATTTGAAAGGAATTTTCAACGAAATGKTATGCTAAGTTATTGTTTTGCTTCTATACCACAACAACCAAATGACAAAAACAATATGCAACGAGGTTTTGTATGAATATAATTGTCCTTCCTCAATAATAAAGTGCTTGCTTTCAACGAAAATCTGAAAATTTCACCAAATTAACAATGTCATTCATCTTACTCTCAAATAATGTTGAAACGAAAATATTCATATTTTCCTCTGCTATRTTTTCATTAACGAYATCTCAAAGAKAATAACGATTTTAGATACAAATACATCTGATTTTTCAGAAACCTGCCAAACGGTTATACATTTTGAAAAAAAAAATCCAAAAATTGTTTAAAAATTTATATTATATTTAAATAAATAATAATATATATTAATATTATATTTTTTTAAATTTAATTTTTTATTGAAAATAGATATACAAAAACTGTGATATAAAATGTAGTGATGTGATTTCCAAAAATTTTCAAACAGTCCTCAAAAAAAAATTTCTTAAAAAACAATTAAATTTTGTTTTTATTTTACCAAAATACGAAAACTAAGATATAAAGCAGATAACCCGCAAATAAACTGAAAACTTGTTCGTGTTCGAATGAAAATACTCATATTTATATAACAGCATCAATTTCTTGATTCCAAATTTTATTGAGATAACTGCTACTAATTTCARTATGCAACTTTCGCAACTGATAACTGCTACATAGTTACAATATACTCATATTTGACTGTTGCTTACTTGCTTCTCTAGAACTGAATTAATACCAGAATTTATCGGTAGTGGGCTCACTTTCCTCTAGGTSTACCCAGAAACAGGCATTTGTAGAAGAAAAATGTCTCAGCGTTCGGCATTGAAGCATATATGTATATAAACTCAAGGTATCGGAACATAAATAAAAATTAGGTTGTTATGAATTTTTTGCTAATTTCATTCATGAAAATAAACTTTTTAACTTAAATATATGCGTAAATTGTTGAAATACAAAGTTCGTTTATAAAAACTACTTGCTTGCTAAAAATTTTTAAATTTTGCAAAATCTATTTGCTCACTTTACTATTATATGTATATAAATATGTATGTATGTACGTTTGGTATTTTTGCAAAACTCTTTTATGCTATTCTAATCTTTATTAACTTCCTTCGCAAACTTCAAATCAAAATAATTTTTTTTACTCTTTTTGTTTGGATACATATTTTTAGTCGCTGCTAACTAGCTAAATATCAGTTATACGCGAATATTTACACTTTTGTTCTATAAACAACACATTTGTATTGTGAAGTGCTAAAATTTTTCATGTAATTTGCAAGAATATGATATTTTTCCATAATTTTTTAACTCAATTTCAAAAACACAAGCACGTTTACCCGCTAACACCTTAGAAACCATACAATATACWTGTATTTTACGCACCTGTTGCTTTTTGTGTTTACAGTTGTGAGTCTCACTGAAGGAATTCAAAAGTAACTGTCACTTGTGTTCGACTCGTATAAGAGAAGTAGTGGAAGTTATTTGGTTATTGCAACTGTAGCGTAGAAGCACACTTGTTTGAATGATGTTTACCGCAAACAGGATACGTCTTTTTATATGCAACGAACGAAGTCGGCTTTGGAYGCTGGAATTAAATAAGCAGCATTGCCATTGGCTCACATTTCCAGCGGCGATTTTGATTGTTTGTCATTGTGGGTGGGATGTTGCTCATACGCCCTAGCCGACCATGCTGACAAGCAAACGTTAGTGTAGGTGCGCGTGTATTTGTGTCGAAGCGTTGCAGTAATAATTCAGTTTTATACACTTGTGTGTGTACGTGTGTGTATGTATATATATATATACATATATGGTTGTTTGTGTGGTGGTGTGCTTAAAAAATGTTACACCGTTGAGTTTATCTTAGATATTTAAGTTTTTTCATGAACATTCATCATTACCTATCGCTGGCGGGTGCACGCATACTCGTGTGTGCATGTATGTGTGTGTGCGTCGTAWAATCTCTAAGGTGCAGGTGCTTGCTTGTTGCATTCAACAGCTTTTCTCTTCATAATTAATTTATTATATCATAAGCTTTTATACACTTTTTATGTTTTTAACTTTATGTCATGTGGAATACGCCTCTTTTGTGAAGTCACCACAGGATAATGTCCGTAAATATCGTTTTATTATAGCAGCTTAACTAAAATAACGATTATAACTATTTTTTGTGTTGTTAAAAAATTATTTTTTCTTTCCATATAAATTGTTAGTGTGCAACAACAGTTGTTAGACTATAAAAAACAGGCGACATATGCTCAGTTTTTTTACTTTCTCMCAATATAAGAACTCATGAATGATATGATATGAAGAATATCTTCTATACCGATACATACATATGTACATATATATATGCACAGTCATCGTTAACAAAGAATWAGAATAAGAAATAAAAATTCTTTGGTCCATTGAAAGTAGAAAGTATAATATTTTACAAATTTCTCTACTAAAATATATTTAAGCGTGAATATCTTTCATGCACAATCTCTATTTCCGTAAGTTGAAGATGACAGGTGCCTTTCTGGGTCACTTCTTCTTATACTCTTGCCACATGTTGTTACCGATTACAATAGTTTTGTTCACCTAACGGTTGTACGTATCACCTAACACTAATCGAGATAGACATAAGTTATATTCATATACATGACTGTCTGTCTGTGCGTCCGTCCATGCAAGCTACATATAACTCAAGTAAAAATTAAGATATCTTGATATCTTGGGCTAGGCACCGCCCAATTTTGGAAATTCAATATCTCGGAACCCGCTCTACCAATTTTGAATAATTTTCATCCGTAGCATTCTTCTCACTCTCCTAAGTCACAGTGTGAAAATGGGCGATTGGCGTAGTCACCGCTTAC